CCCTCCCTGCGGATGTGCAGGCACAACGGCTGGGGAGTGCACAACTGTGGGCACGTGGAGGATGCCAGTGTCATCTGTGCAGGTGGGTGGGCAGTGAAGGCAGCTGAGTCTCCTGTGGAACTTATAGCCTAGCCCCAGTGTGCCCATCCCCTCCTCCCTGTGATCCTCATCCTGATGCCCTCTGTGCCCCAGAACCTTTCTCACAAGCAACACATTTCACTTGCGTCTCTTCTTCCTTCACACCCACAGCTCCTGCAGCCACCACACCACCTTCATCAGGTAATGCTCTTCTGTGTCTCTTCTCACTTTTCTAATTTGTGGGCTGTCTCCCTTTAGCACATTTTCTTTTTAATTTGCCTTTTGCCTCTGTGGCGGTATCACTTTAATCTTGTGTGGTGATTCCCAGACAGGCTGTGATGTCCCCTCACCTTTCAATGACGCTTATTTTGCAACCCTTCTGATTGGCTTTGTCAAGCCATTTCCTTGCTGGGCAATTCAGCTGGGTCAAGGCCTAGGAAATATTATCTAAATCTCCAATTTCTAACTGCATTCATAAGCATTGGAAGAATGGTGTTCAGGTATGGCAATGTGCAATCTAAGGCACTTCTGCTTGCTAGAGCTGGTACAGTCTCTTTTATATTTTTGCCTTAGAAAGCAGATTTTAGATTTAGAGCTTGACCATTCACAGTTGAAAATAATATGAAAGTGAATTTTGCTAGAGCCTGTCCAGTCTGATCAGAGGAAGAGCCACTGTCTGGCTACAGCTGATGCTCCCAATCTTGGAATAGCCTGTGAATCCCAAAATCCTGAGGCAGAGAGGCATGTATTGTACTGGTGTGTCTCTGTGCAGGACTATAAAATGGGTTGTCACCTCTACATGTCTCATCTTGCAGCATTTAAGTTCAAAGCTTGTATTCACCTCCCTACAGAAGAGCTTTTAGGATTATCTGTGTGTTTAACAAGAATTATGTAATTCATGCTAAACACGGAACACAAAAGCTTTTTGCAGCTATGTTTATAGGAGAAATTAGTTATATTTAAGGCTTTCTCCAGCAGCCTGGAGTGCTTATTTCAGTCTAAGACCATAAAATTATGGAGTTTCCTAGAAGACTTGCAACTTATTTACCCTCCAAAGTCCTTAGGGGAATAAAGAGAAGCAGCAGAGTAACTGAGGAGAGGGTGTTTGTTGAGGAAGATACTTCCATTTAGACTGCCATGACACCTCCCAGAATCAGACCCTGGCTGTGAAAAGGAGAACAGACTAGAGCAGAAAGCATCAAGGTGTTTCCAACCCATCCTGAAGAGGGTAGTCTGACACCACAAATGTGACAGGGAATTCCAAATCCAACACGAAAGTAAAGCTAAAGCAAAAAACAAATATTTGTTTTGATTTGGCTCACACAGAATATCACCCACAGTCAGCAGGGGACCTGCTTTTCCACAGCTACTGTGAGATGTACAGCCCAAATGCACTTTTGCAGATGTTACTGTGAGTAAATTCTCTTCCATTTCTTTCTGCAGCACCTTCTTTTTGTGGCGGTTCAATCTCAGATTCCTCTGGGGTGCTGCAGAGTCCCCACTACCCTGGAAGTTATCCAAACAACGCTGACTGCGAGTGGCAAATACAAGTCGAGAGCAATTTCCGTGTTACACTCACATTTAGAGATATTGAGTAAGTAAAACACTGATCCCCTGCACAAATAACAAAGGCCGAACTTATTTGAGAGGTTTGAAAAACAGGCAACCTTCCCAGTTTGAAAGATACTTTCAGTAAGATCTGGCTGCTGGAAGACCAGATCAAAATCTAGATTGCTGTAGTATTTTTTGCTCAAAATTTTCTGCTACGGCTACATACAAACCAAATGAAACCTCTCCTGAAGGATTTTATCCCATGTTAGGCAGTGAAATCAGAGTCCCTGGAACAGATTTAACAAGGTGCTCACGTTTCTTCACCAGGATGCAAAGCAGCTCGTGCCAGCATGACTACATTGAAGTCTATGATGGGCCTCGACACTCTTCCCCACTTCTTGGGAGACTTTGCTCTGGTTCCTTCCCCACATACGTGTCCTCTTCGAACATGATGACCGTTTGCTTTCACAGTGATTCTAGATTCTCCTTCAGAGGCTTTCAGGCTCACTACTCCTCCATCCCAGCAGATCACAACACCAGTAAGTCCTCAGCTGGTGTTTCTCAACAGACAAGCTTATTTATTGCTTTTGTTTGCAAAATAAGTATTTGTGTAAATTTAAAGATATTTGTGGAAATTGAATGATGTGCGTGAAACACGATGGGTCGGGGTGTGAACTGCCTGACTTCTAAATTAAGAAAACAACACTTAGCTCAATTACAACCTTTAATCATTAACAAATTCCTGAAGTCACTAATATATTGTACCTCCTTCTTCTGCCAGCCCTTCTGTGCCTGCCAGACTACATGCACGCAGTGGTGAGCAGGGACTACCTTCAGTCTCAAGGCTACTCAGCCCAGATGGTCACCCTGAATGACAATCGCTGCAGACCAACCATCACCCCACAGGAGGTTGTGTTCAACATTCCCTACGACGGCTGCGGGACGACACGAGAGGTACGTTCACCAGGGTGGGCTCTGAATTGCAGGACCCGCTGTGAGAAGAGTCACAGAAAGGCCACTGTGGCCAATGAGACCTGGAGGTCTAACTGTTGTAGCTTTCCGAGCCTTAGGGAATATCTGTGCTTAATAAGAGGGAGCTTCTAGGGAGGAAAGCATGGGAGAGAGCTACACGAATTTTCTGTGATTTCTGTGATTGCAGTCCTGTAAATGCACAGGATTGGAATGCCTGTGTTCCACACAACTGATGTTTATACAGATGTTCAATGAGTTGGCTCTGCCTTGGATTTAACAGAGTTTTTCTCCACTGAATTCTGCTTAATTACGTAAAATTTACAATGTTTGAGCAGAAAAGACCAACATCAAGCTCCTTGATTTAAAGTGTGTAAGACGAACCCACAATTTTAAAGTGCATATTTAAGCTTATCAAACCTTAGAACTTGCATGGAATGTGACAAAAATGCAATTCCTCATTTTAAATTGTGCATTAAACAGGAGAACAATGACACAATCAACTATTCCAACACAATCAAAGTTGCATCTTCTGGGTACATAATCAAGAGGAAAAAGAACATCAACCTGCATATTAGTTGCAAAATGCTGCAGAAGACATGGATGCAAGTAATGTACACTGCTGAGGACACTGTGGATGTGAATGAGTATCAGTTTGGAAGATATGACATGAACATCACCTTTTATGATTCCTCGGCGTTCTCGCGGCAAGTGCGCGACTCCCCGTACTTCATTGACTTGAACCAGAATTTGTACCTTCAAGCTTGTCTTCACAGCTCAGACCCAAACCTGAAGGTGTTTGTGGACACGTGTGTGGCATCGCCTGATCCTCGTGACTTTCACACTCTGGTCTATGACATAGTCAGGGACGGGTAAGAGCTCTCTTCAAGCTGTTAGAAGCACCCCTGTAATCTGCATTTATTCAAAAGAAGAGAACCAGTCTGAGTCGGGTTACAACAGACTGTTAAAAGGGGTCTTTGATTTTTTTTATTTTAACAGCACGAACCTGGAAATGAGAAATTACATTTAGACCTTACTAACATTTCTTTTCAATTACTTCATCTTTGTCCTATAAGCAAAATTCGAAGTAGTGGGAGCGACGTAAATGAGGCAGTGAAAACTGGCAGCAGGAATCTGTAATCCTAGGAGTTTAATGTTTTAGTAAAACCAGGTCAAGCATTAGACTAACTTTTTTATGCCTCGCACAGCACAGATATTAGTAAGAGTCTGCTGGTCCTTCTTCTTTAATTGTCCTCCTCTTGGGGAAAAAAAAAGAAGAGTTGTCAATGCTCTAGCTCTTTCATAGGACTTAAATAAGTCTATATTTTTAAAGTCTATCTGCTGTGAAAGTTGCATTTTTATTCCTTTGTTTTTAGTATCTGACTATGATATAGTTTAGTTTTAATCTATTGTATTTTTGCAGGAATGTGCACCTGTGCATCCATGAAGAGTAAACTACCTTTCTTTCGTTCCTTTCTAGGTGTCCCAGAGATTCTTCCTATGCCACGTTCTACTCCCCTTCCAGCCACTTTGCTCGGTTCAAATTCAATGCCTTTGAGTTCATCAGCCGCCACCCCTCGGTGTACCTGAAGTGTGAGCTGATGGTCTGCAGGCTCGGGGACTATTCCTCCCACTGCTACCGGGGCTGCACCAGGAGGTCCAAGAGAGACACGAGTTCTGTCGAGGAAAAAGTGGACGTGGTCGTCGGGCCAATTCGGCTCCGAGAAGGGGCTGCTCAGAGTGGGAATACTACTAAAGCCAAATAAATTTCTCTCACATTTGCTGTAAGGTGACTTCAGGCTCCAGGAAAAGCCATAGCTCTGCATTTCTGACACCTGTCACTGCAATCTGCTTTTGCCCAACTTCTCCGTAAAAAGGAAGCTATCAGCTCCTTGCAAACCCACTATTTTTACCTGCATATTTAAAATGTATAACTGCTCTGACTGTCCAAAAGGAGAGATTGCTTATAACCCATTTTAGTGCTATGACTCCTTGAATTGAATTAGTTCCAATCTGCTTGTGTAATGGCACTTGGGGACGTGGTTTAGTGATGGACTTGTCTGTACTAGTTTAATGGTTGGACTCGGTGATCCTAAAGGTCTTTTCTAACCTAAATGATTCGGGAAGAATGGGTCGTGTCTGGAAAGGAAACGTAAAAACTGATCTCACCACAGCAACTGGAATTGTGGCTATGCAATATTCTAATTCTTTTGAGCATTGCTTTTAATGCTAAATTTCTTGGTGAAACAATAATGGGACTGTGCTTATTTAATGCAGAGATTTCCAAGCTAAAAGTAATCTGTTCTGTAAGCAGTGTAATTTATAATCAAAAGAAAGAATGTTTACAAAGAAATAAATCTATTTTGTCTTTCAAATTAATGTCTCTGTGCTTAAAGTACAAACAAATGTTTTACTGTGTCGAAGAGTGTGGTCTGTTGGATTAAAAATTCCAAGTGATGGAATATTTGACTTTCCAATATTTGACATTCTGCCCATCAGCTGTGTTTTGAAACACTTCTACACGATGTTTTGAAGAGGTATGAGGTACCTCTGTCTTCTGTAAGTGTTCAGCACAGCTACAGCAAGGAACTTTAATGGGATTAAACTGTAAAGGGTGGGTAAAAAATTAAATAAAGTTTAGCAGGAAAAGAAAAAAAATCCAAACAACACGGGGAAGGCCTTGAAATACTCTCTGATTCCTCACTGATGGTAGAGGTGTTTGCAAAGTTAAGAAGCAACAGAGCACAGAAGTCATTGTACCATCTCCCTTCATCACAGGGGCTTCTGCTCAACCAGAGCACCAAAAGCATCAAAATGATGGATATTCCCAACAGATTCTCAGCTTGCTGAGGCAATCCCTTCTCATGCTTAAGGAGACTCAATATTGAAATCAGCATCACCACAGAAAAGGCTTCCCACAATGTCTGTCCTCAGTTTTCACTGTCTCTGGCCAAGCCCAGGAGTTCTTGTCCTGTCCCTGCTTGCCATTGGGAGGAAGTTTCTCTGCTTTCTTTTTAGGTGCACTTTTTAGCTGAAAATTGATATTTTTCCCAGTAAATGTTCACTTCTCTAGATTGAATAAATCCAAATTCAAAAGATGTTTTGTTAAAGATGTTTGCTGAATCACACAATCTGACCTAAAGGCTTGTCAAATCAGTTGGTAGCCTTCCCACTGACACACATCCTGAACCAGGTAAAACCATAAATCTCATCCAAGAGATCAATTCTCAGCCAGAAGACATTTTAGCTCTCACCAAAACGTCATTTAAAAGTTAAAAGACGTTTCATATCTGCTTTGCAGAAGGGTTTTTGTTCAATTTTTATTACTTTTGTCTGCTGATCACGAAATTATTTAACTTTTTTTCCCCTACATGGTTGTATGCTTTGTGGTTGTGAGGAGTTTGGCTTCTCAGGACTTACCCAGCCTTTCAGAATGTCTTGTGTGCATTCACAAATCAGACTGAAATATGCTGGAAATGCAAACACCCAAATCCCACATAAACATTTATCACTGGTGCATGAAAACATGAAAAGCAAGACCTGAGATTTTTGCCTTTCATGTCCTGGTTAAAAATACAAAGAATTAAAGCCAAAATGTAAACTGAATTTGCTTATTTGGCCTTTTGTTTTGGTTTTTTGTTTATTTTGTCTGGGATCAGTGTTATGCCACTGTCATAGTGAAGCCTGGTGCCTGCGAGCACAAGGATGTCAAGAATCAGGAGCATGTGGTTTTTAAATGAGCTTTCTGGGTGCTGCTCATTGTTGTCACCTCCTCCACCCTCAGAGAAGACACACCATCCACCATTTGGCAGCTTTTTACTTTGAATAACCATACGATTTTGGTGTTAGATTACTTAAATTCTTCCTAGTGTGCCTGTCATGACTGAAACATGTAATCAGTACTTGTTCACCCAGCAGTATGTACTCAACTAACCATCTCAGCACCAAATAAACACATTTTCAGCATCATGAGAAAATCCCTTACAAGTGTCAACCTAATGACTGAATTACACCACTACCCCAGTTTTGGCTGGGATAGAGTTAATTTTCTTTCTAGTAGCTGGTACAGTGCTGTGCTTGAATCCCAATTTAGTTTCAAATACACACATATTTTTTAAGAAATAATTGCACAGGTTCTATGGGTTCCCACAGTTTTGTTGTTCCCAGTGTTACAAGACCACCTATTTGGCCAGCACTGGGTTTGAAGCAAAGCTCAGAAAAAAAGTCCTTGTTTGCTTGTTTGTCTGCTGAATTTCCTGTGCTTTGCTGCCCTGTTTATCTTTCTATTCTAATTTTGGATTATGAAGCAGATAATTCAGCTCTGCAGTCCTCCTTCCCAGGAACCCACTAGAAAAATATTTATAATTGGGTATAAATAAACACAGTTTTGTTTCTGCATCTCATAGCTAGCAAGTAGATTCATCTTTTAGTTGTTAATAATGCAGACTGAGATTTAAAAAGGTAATTAGGGTTTGCAGGGTAGGTGCAAGAAACATGATTTTTCTTGTTTTCATTACTTTCCCCCCATCCTTTCTCATAGAATCCCACAGATATTCGTTGGCACCAAGCTGAATTAAGCAGCTAAGCATAATCTTCTGCCCATAGTTCGGGCTTAGGAGTCCTTTAGTGCCTGAGCCCAAAAGCTTGTACCAAATTCCAGTTAAATGACTAAAGGAATACACTCTGGAGATCACTTCACTTGACTCATAATTTAATTTTTTTTTTATTAACTTCATCAGACTCACTAACTCACCATCCAATTTTAAGAGGGTTGCTCTAGGCTCTACCTTGAAAGGGAAATTAGGCAGAGAGCACTGGAGCTGGGCTGCTCAGTTTTCCACTGTGCTCAATAAACTCTGAGGAAACAGCATTTCTTGAGACTGACCCCCCACTGCCTTTCATTTGTGACAAGTTCCACATAAAAAAAATTACAATCCTTTGCTCTCCAGCACCCCCAAACCCAAGCACAATTTTTTTTTTCACACTTCGTGTTAAATACCTTTTTTTACAAGCAGAATGTATTTTCCTTATTTGTTTGCTTTTTGTTATTTTGGTAGTTAATGTATCATGTATTTATTTATGTTACTATTTATTTGTGAGGGTTTGTTTATAGTTATTATTTTATGTGTTATTTATTAACCTGGAACACATTGTCCAGAGAAGTTGTGGATGCCTCATCCCTGGAATTATCCAAGGCAAGGCTGAACAGGACTTGGAGCAACCTGGGATAGTAGGAGGTGTCCCTGCCCATGGCAGGAGGTGGAAGGAGATGATCTTTAAGGTCCCAACCCAAACTATTCCAGCATTCTATTTTCATGGAGTTTTTACTTTACTTTTTATCTGTTTGGCAGTTTTTATCTAAATGGGAAAAACTGAGGAGACACTAAAATTCTCATAGCACTTGTGTACCTCAGATTTTATCTCTCAGACTCAAGGACCATGACAGAAAAAGTTCTATTTTAATGACATCCCTCCTGGCTGAGGAAACTCGTCAGTGACCCGTCTGCATCACTGGGAGTGAGATTTGTTTTCATTTCCTAGAACAACACTTGGATCACCTCTTTTGCCCTGAATCACTGGGTACCCATCCAAGCAGATTTTTTTCTTCTTCTTTCTCAGATAAGTGGATTAGTCACAGGGTGTAATGTAGAAATTACTTGTACTGCTGCTGTTCTAAAGTCTGAATGACTGCCATCTTTTCTCTTGGTTGGTTTTTTTTTTTTTTTTCCCAGTTTTCAGGAACTACAGTTTCAAAGAGATGGGTTCTCTCTTTCCTCCTAGTGATCGTTACTGAGGTGTTTCTGAAGCATTTGGCATTAGTTGTCACCATCTTCCACTGCTAATCCTGGATTCAAGCAGAGCTTTGTTGCATGGGACATGATGAAAATTGAGTTATGTTGATATGAGGGCTCCGTTCTCCCATGAAAGGAGGTGTCAGGGAGCATGACTTAATGCAACCACCTGAAAGGAGGTTGTAACCAGGCGGAGGTCAGTCTCTTCTCCCAAGTAGTGAGAAGCAACAGGACAAGAGGAAGAAGCCCCTTCCTGTTTTGCCAGGGGAGTTTTAGAGTGGATATTAGGGAAAATTTCTTCACAGAAAGGGATGGAACAAACTGCCCAGGGCAGTGGTGGAGTCCCCATCCCCGGAGGGATTTAAAAGCTCTGTAGATGTGGCACTTGGGGACATGGTTTAGTGGTGGGCTTGGCAGTGCTGGGGGAACAGTTTTACTCAATGGTCTTAGAGAGCTTTTCCAACCTAAATGATTCTCTGTGGCAAAGCCAGGCCTTCTTTCCAAAATGCTGGATCCCTCCATCCCTTGTTGCAGGCTCACAAAGCCACCTGTGTAGCCCCAGTTGCAGAAGGGTGGCCAAAACCTGTTGCTTCAGGTTCTTTTCAAGCTCTTGGGCCAGGGCAGCATTCTTCAAGAGCTGCACACCCAGCATGTAGAGTAAACATTTGATCTGAGTCTTGCCAGTGTGAAACAAGCCTTCTTTGTTTCACTGGCTTTCAGCAAGGAATGCATTGTTGAGGAAGACAAGTGGGGTTCTCTCTGCCAACACTGCAAGGATTCATCCAGGCACCACATGAGATGCTTTCTGAGGGCAGTGAAGTCTCACAGCTGGGATGACACTTGCAGATCAAGCTGAAAATTAACTGAAATACAGGTGATACTCTGGACAGCCTTTAGGGGTTTCTGGCACTGCATTTTGAAAGAAAAATAGCATTTTGTTTCTCAGTAGAAAAGGCAGTGCGTTGCCCTGGAAATGCTTTGTCCTGGCTGGTTCCTCTGGGCCAGTGGCTGCCTTTGGATACACCAAGAGGAGGATTTAACAGTCCCACAGCCTCACAGAAGAGAAGAGCTTCAAATAATAATTAATCAAAAAATTAAGGTATTAGAAACAAACCCTCAAACAAACAAACAAAAAAATCTAGAATGCTTTTAGTAGTTCAAAGTAATTCCATTTTATGAAATTATATTGGCCATGCCTGCTCTTTTGGATTCTTGCCTTCCAGTAACATTTCCTCTGTAGTATTCAAACACTTCTTGATTTTATTTTGATTTACCTTGGATTTTTATTTCGATTTAGCTTGGATTTTTATTTCAGTGATTACATTGTCTCATTTATACAATTTTTTATCACTCACACTTTAAAAATTCATATTTTCCCCTGCAGTCATAAACTGATGTGTTTCAAAACCAGTGTGACTTCTGTTGTAGACATGTGTAATAGTCTTGAAACAAGATGCAATAATCTGCTTCTTCCTGTTTCAGTAACATTTTTAGCACAATGTGCAGTGCTCCCTTTCCTTGATAGATGCAGTA